ATAATAAAGTTAGCAAATGCAAGTTGAAGAAATCTTTATTTGGGAATAAAACGAAAGAAAGCGTCACGCTTGATTGTGCCAATTTCGCTACTCGAGGACTATTACTACTAGTCCTCTAGTGGCGGAGCCAATTAAAATGCAGGATTTGCATTAGTCCACTAGTTGGGTGATACTAAATAGATTTAGCCAAGCCTCCTGATTGCAATAATTAATCATAAAGAAAAAAGAGGATTTGTTTTTCTTGGATCAGAAACTCAAAAGTGATCAATTGTGAGTATCTAATGTCTCATGCGAAACGTCACTAACGGATATCCGTTGAATGGTCAAAATGAACGGCTGGTGAAGGGCTAATGAACGGATCAGAAATGGATGTTCCAGCCATTCAAACGATTTCAAATACTGTTCGAACGGCCAGGAAAAAATTTCTAACAGATACTGTAAAGGTTCGAACGGCACTGGAAAAATTCCGAACAGATGATGCTAGCCGTTTGAATGGCACAGGAAAATTTTTAAATGGATGACGTGAGCCATTGGAACAGCTAATGAAAAATTTTGAATGGATGACGCCAGCCATTCGAATGGCTAATGAAAAATTTTGAACGGGTGATGCCAGCCATTCGAATGGCTGACGAAAAATTTCAAACGGATGATGCCAGCTGTTCAAACAGGTAAGGAAAAGTTTCAAACAGGTGACACCAGGCGTTCGAACTGCTAAAGAAACATTTGGAACATATGATTCCAGGCATTCGAACGATCGAAGAAAAGGGTTTCTATTGAACGAATGGTTATAAATGGCCCAGCAGCTAAATGCGGGAGATCTTGATGTTTTGATAAAGGATGGGTTTTTGCTCCCGTTTCATAGGTCTATAGCTGCAATTCTTATTACACACTAATTTTCTTCATTTCTGCTCTCAAAACTTGACAAAACTTAGAAATGGACACCAAAAGCTTTTAACAGAATAGAACCAGCAATAACTGTTTTCCATCATAGACCCAAATCTGTCTCTTCACAAAATTAATGTGCGGAAATTTGCACGCCAATCGTTGACCCATTGTGCGTGACCTGTAATGCAAGTTTTGCTATAGAGATCAAGTGCACTTTGACAGAACTCAATAGAAAACAATAACATTGTCTTGTTTCAACATCTCTCCTTAGAGTGGGTGTTTAAATCAGAAAGGTTGAATGTTTCTTTTAAACGAACATACCCATTCGGGCGGCTGTATAAGGTTCCTTCTGAACAGATTTTCCCAGCCGTTCAAAAACCTGAATCCCATCAGATATCATTGACCGATCGAATGGCTGATTAGTTTTAAGTAAATGGATGGCTGCAGCTGTTCAAACAGCTGAATACTATTTTCCCTAACAGGTGACATTAGCTGTTTGAACCACCACAGTTTCTTTCAAACGGACATCATCAGCTGTTCAAATGGCTGCATTTTTTTTTTTTTTTTTGAACAAATAACTATTTTTTCGAACAGATGACCATTGTTTTGGAATGTATGAAGATTTTATTAGAATGGATGACGATTTTTTTCGAACGGCTAACCTCAGCCATTCGAACGGATTAAGATTTTCTTCGAATGGATAACCTCAGCCGGATACTCGGACTCGGATATTTCTCCTTAACTTACTCTGCACCAAGTTCTTGTTTTTTTACCTAAAGAAGCTCAAAAACGGACTTTCTGTATTTTTAAATTGTTGTTAATTTTTGTAAATTAAGTACTAAGTTTTTGTTATAAATAGTTTTTTAATTAAGTTTCTGGCGGGTCCCCACCAGCCTTTAGGTTGCCTCAAACCAACCTGCCTCAACAAAAAGTATATGTATGTATGTATATGTATGTAAATATTTAAAGTCTGCTATCTTGGATTTCAAAATTTTTCAGGAACGTCAAAAAATATCCAAAGTAGGTTTGAATAGATTAGAGAAATGACTAACAAGTCAAAAACTTCAGTTTTTCTTTTAATTTTTAACTTTTTAGTCTTGTTAATGGCATCTTGCAATTATTATAATTTCTTTTTTAATTTCTTTTTTAATTTGTTATCATCAGTATCTCAATAACATACATTTTATCACAGTAAGCTCACATTTTGACACAAAAACAAGACACATACCCAAGGTTTTGCCTGGCACATCAACAAATACAATCACAGTGGGGGATCTAGGGCAGGGGCTCAGGGGTCCCAGGCCCCACTTATTTTGGGTTAAAAAAAGCCACCCCCCTCCCCCTAGGAGCTCAAGGTCTGAATCCACCACTGAATCATACTATTCATACTATGCTATGGTTAATGCCATGTATGTCTTAAACCAGGAGACCTCTCTGGAGGAAATGAAGACTGATTTTGTATTGTAAATTTCATTGCAGTTCACCTGTTTTTGTGACTTTGTGGAAATGCATGGCAACCATTGCCCGACAACACAAGGTTTACAAGATCGTGCAATAAGGATCAGAATGTTTAAACCATCATTTTATGGTAATTAAGTAAAGGTAAGTTTATGCAATACTTGGTTGAGGACAATCATTTAGGTCATGACTGTATGTTCATAATCAAATATTCTAGAATTCAAATAGTTATTTATTAGTACCAGTAATAAATAATGATATTACTGAAGTTGACTGAAATAAATGAGAATTTTCTAGCAGCTAAATGAATTTAATTTATGTTATCCCTAATTGTCAAATCAATTTTTTTTAATACATGTAATTATTGCATTTTTAGCTTTCTGATTCCATCACACAGTGTGACTAACAACAAATAGTCCAGAGTCTACCTTTTGTTTAGTTTACACATAATTCATAAAAAATGGACATGTGATGTGTGGAAAATTTTGTCCTTTGTTCGCAATAGAGGTACATGTAATATCAATTCTTACACAATGTGGCTAAAATCATTATAGTGGAATACTACTCTGTATAAAAGACCTTGATAAATGAGCTATAGAGTGTTGTTGAGTATACGTGATGTAGATGGTCGAGTGAGAAGTGATATGGTGAGAAGTGTAGAGCAAAACAATGCATACAGTATACAGTGTAGACTTGTCTCAGTGTCCAGTACTGTGTGGACATTGAAGTAAAGTGTAGACTATATAAATGTACATACATGTACACATGTATGACTGAGTAGAGAATGTAAATTAAAGTGCACTGTTATGTATGGTGTGTAGGGTAGAGATGACGAGCATGATCTCACTACTTCGTTTGTACATGTATTTGTCACACTTCTGAAAGAATGCCAGCGTTGTTTGAAGTGCTTATGTGAAGGAGAAAAAAGTCAATTGCTCCTTATTTGAAAGGCTTTTCAAAAAATAGGAATCATCATAGCGTTTTCCCTTTCGAAATATCTCCTTTCATTTTGGAGATTTATGTCTTTGTAATTATGCAAATGAGGAGAGTGATGAAGTCATAAATCATTCCACTAAAATATATAACACTGAATCAAAAATACATGTATCTCTAGAAATACATGTGTCAGAGTAGTGTTCTTTAAACTTGGCACTCCCAACAATCTAATGAGGAGAGTTAAGGTAACAGTATACCCCAAATGACTCTCATTCGTTGGCGCTGCTTTACGAACGGACATTTGACGCAAATCCCAGTAAAGAATATATTTTCTAAAGGCTTAAGAATTGTAAATTACGAAGTATATTTATTGAAACGAAAAAAAAATTAAGGTTTCTGAATAACTGTACCGCCCTATTTCCCAAAGTACAGAGGTTCGCTAATCAAGTTTGTTTCTGGTCAGATTTGAGTGAGAAGACGTGATCAACCTTGGATGTCTTCTTGACACCTTTCTTTAGAAATGGTGTTTGGAAATTTTGATTACTTGTCTAGTTTGTTTTTGACACGCAGTTAAACTTTAAGAGTTGATAAAACATGCATTTGCTTCACTAAAATAGTCATAAGTTTTGAAAGAAGTAAACACTAAAAGTTGCCCACCACCGTTTATTTGCCTGATTGTCAGGCAAAATTCTCTCCAGATTTCACTCCAAAAAAAGTGTTAAAAACTCTCTGGAAATGAACTCAAGAGGTGTGCTTCATTCTCTGAAATTTTTTTTCGAGATACAAAGGAAGATATAATTTGGGGCATTTTTCCAATGTAATGAGATAATTACACAAAACGTGTGAAAATAATAACGCGTTGATTGATAAAGTGAAGGCTCATTTTACTAATTAACAATAGAGCTCATATCAATTACGCACAGTTTTGAGAATTATCTGATGAAAGCAATAAAGCACTTTTTCTGTGTTTACATAACCTCATCTAAACACTAGGAGGGCTGGGAGAATTTCTGAAAGTTATGCAAACCCTCAAATATGTCTTGGGTTTGCATAACTGTGTTGAGTTCTCTTAACCCTCCTTGTATTTAGATGGAGCTTTGTAAACATGGAAAAAGTGCTCTATTGCTTAAATACTGATACCTTAAGGCAATATGGGCACACTGTGTGTTCCAAACAGGACCCCAAGTCCCACTTTAAAGGGTTGCAAATGGGAATATTTGGTTTTTGACAGAAAGAGAGTGGAGCCAAGAGTGTTGCCATGGCAACAGCACAATGGTGTCATGTTGTTGCTTTTGTGATGTACATTTCTGGAGGACTACCCAGCAATTAGATAATATGTTTTTTTTCAAGGTGATTACAATGTATGTGCAATTTGATTGTTGATTTCACCATTTCTTGTCCTTGTTTGTTTTTAAGTCGGTCTTGTGCCTTTCACTCTATCTTATTCCTATTATTAAACTTCAATATTTGCAGGATAATGTAATCAATCTTTCTTTTATTATTTGTGTATAGTTATAAAATAATACATTTTATGTTTCAATGAACTGTACATGATTGTATATACCTACGCAAATGTCAACTAAACTAAAAACTTAATGTGTGACAAAAAATTTCTCGGTGTAATCTGTTGAACTATTTTTACTTTTTGTCCAAGTAGATGGACATTAAATCAAGAAATGTACAGTTACATTCATTAACGTATGGAGTTTGACATATCTTTTTCATTGAAAACAAATTAAAATTTACAAAAAAGTCAACTTGACTTGTTGGTCACATGCAGTGCCCTCATTTTCACTGTTTATAGTGCCTCTCCTCCCTAAATATGTAAAGAAACTCAACCTTAGATGAAAGATACAACACTAATGTTTTGGAACTCTCTCACTGTTTCAGCAATCTGTTTATAATTTAAATAATTATAATATATTTTATACTAGTAGGATCAGAAGCAAAGTTAACAGAAAGGCCTCAGACTTCTTAAGGGTGTTAGCAGTAAACAATGTTTGACAATGTGCAATGTTTGCGCTGCATATTTTTGCTGAAGCAGATGCAGTGTAGAGCATCAGTGGTTGACAAAATGAAAATTGAGCCTGCAATGATTTCATTCATGGAGAAAACACATCATCCAAGATGGTGGACAAAAATGATGATTTTGTCACCAAAGAAAGCTGCAAATCTTTCTCTAATTTCTAAAAGTTCAAAAT